AGGTAGACAACTTCGCCCAATGCGAAAGTGATGAACGGCAATTAGATTTCGTAGTCAGCCTAGCGAGGGACGGAGGCCTCCCGTCCCCCACTATTCCTGCCCTTATTGTGCCCTATCCAGACCGTTTTTCGACCTCATTCTTGCACAAATGGTATCAGAGGGGGAGTCGAATTCAAACCATGTGCAGATCTCTGAAACCATTTTTTCGTGAACTGTGCCTTTAAATAGACATGCAAATCCAACGGCGATGCCGCATTTTTGTGTCATCTCTATCTACGATCCAGAAACGATAATTTGTAATAGCTTGTGGAATTCTAGGAGCTCCACAGGTATCATTATGTATTATGGATAGGTGAAAAAACTGACTAAATTCATAAGAAAAACAGCGCGAAGTAGTAAGTACTGAGTAAGTTGCATAGTGCACTTCAGAGGAAATCGACTTTTGAGGAACAATTTTCCCCATTTGGACTGATATTTCGACGAGATTCTTTTCGTGGTTTACTCTGACTGTCATTTCGGTCTAACAGCTTGTGATCCACGCCCAGCGAAAGATGAGAAAGCAGGATCTGCGAGGGTATGAACCTTATAAAGGGGCAGGATGATACGATAATGGATGCGATGGTATGAACTCCTTACTGAGAAAGCTTCAGGATCATACGATAATGGAACCAGTAGAGATAGAAGCTCAAGGGGAGCTACCACAAGAAGCTTCAAAGAAGAGTTGGCATACACCTGTTAGGGAATTTTTGAAAACGCCCTTTGAGTAAGTAGTTCTGTGTTATAATAGTAAAATAGTAAGTAACTGCTCGTAATATGATAACATATCTGTATATCAAATCGCACGATATCATATGCAATCTTGCAATATCACACCTTATAGGTAATGCCAAAATTTACTCTTAAGAGAAGAAAAGTGTAAATTCTGTATCCCTAGTCTACCTCAATGAATTTCCTCACGACTACTCAAGGAAACGAAGAAGGCCATCAAATAATTCATCATAAATATGAAAACTACTCGGAAAATCAAGGACAATATTACTAGTCAATAATGTGTATGAGAGTAATACCGATAAGTAACTCAAAAATATCAAAATCAACACAAATTCAGATGGTCTAATATCAGCAAAAAACTTATTTCCATGCAAAATATTCAGCGAAAGCTAAATTGAAAATCATTGGTCCCATCCGGAGACTTTTCATTCCTTTGTTACATTTTTCAATTTAGATAGTGATTCAAATGGCAGATAATCCCAGTTTTCATACTGTAAGAGAGACTTTACACAGAAACCGATGCAGTATCCAAGCACCCTAACTTTCACATTCCTTTACATTCCTGTTAGGAGAAGGAAAGTGTAGGTCTTTTGGAGTTCAAAAAGATGGCTTCGTATCGATGAGCGAAAGGTAAGGTGGCTGAACAGTGGTGGATTGGAATTGGCGATAGAGTTTCTTGACGAAAATAGGCTAGAAACCTTCAAAAACCCCAAATAGGACCGAATACGTGTTACGGAGATTCAGAAAAAACAGTGTTCGTTTAGAAAGCCTATCGAATGCCTGTAATGGCCGTTGACCCACGGCGAGCGTAGAATTGAACATGGAAACCTCACGATGACCGATGAAATTCGTAAATGAACTAGAGTAATTTATGGGAAAAATTGCGTGGATCTAGTTACTCAAGCGCTATAATGCTCGTCAACGAGCTACTAAAGCCTGAGAAAAGACTGGATAGTGTTATGGTAAAAGAAATAAACAAAAATAGTCACAGCGAACCTCCAAGAGAATAGAACTTGTAGCGGGCTCCAAAATGAAGAGAATGTGGATGGAAAAGTGATATGAAAAAAATGAAGTAAGTGAGAGAGGAAACAACCGGCAGAGCAGTTTTGAAGTAGTGAAAGGTATGGAAGATATACATGGAAAATCTCTCAGAACCAAATAATAGGCATAGAACGATTCCTCTTGATGAGCTATGTTTTCGAAATCTTTTTTTAAGCTAATGTAGTCAGAATTTCAATAAGAATGGATGAATTCCAAAACTATTGCAAGATTATCTCGATGTTACAAAAGTACAACATAATCAGGTGGATGAAATCACAGCGTGAGGGAGTGCCACATGGAGAATGGTCTGTAGATCAGTGCCTGGGTCGAAGGCTTCTCAGCCATAGCTCATATCCCCACGAAGTGATACCAGCCCTATTCGAGTGAAACGATATAACCTTACATCACGTGAACTGATTCCCGCAATAGCTATTACATACCCTAGCTAAGTTACATGCACTCCAAAAGCTCCTACTACTCGTAATGGAATGGGAGTGCATAGCGAATCTCAAACCCATGAAAATTCGTAGTTTTTCCTATATCATATGTTTCAGTGTACATGTATTAATTCTGGCAGCATCCCTAAGTCGCGATTGGTCCCCTTCAAAAACTTAATCCTCCATCTTTATACATATGCATTACCAAAGGTCAGAAACGGTTCAAAAAATCCACATTTAGCAGGGTACATGCCAATATGACAGGGTCGCCTGACAAAGAAAAACAAAATAGCCAGAATATAGTAGCAGGACTCATAATAATATGACGGGCCATTCGATCACATACTTGCTCGTCCATTATGTCGCTCACTCTCTGATACTGAAACCGGTATAATATCGAAAAAAACGAGTCCAATTCTCAGCTGGCCAGCGACCGACCCGTCATGAAAGAGCTCATTCAGTCATCTTCAGCAAACGTCAATAATTATATGTCAGACTCTGTTAATAGCTCAGAAATATGCCAGGAAATCAACTTGGCATTATTTATTATTATTATTATTGTGCAGATTCAAAGAGGCAATACTTGCTTACACATTCAATTCTAACTGGGTGTTCAATTTCCATAAATAGGTCTAGTATCACTTGGTAGGAAGAGAAAAAAGAGAGAAGCATTTTTGTTGCCTATAGCCTTTCCGACAGCTTCAGATTCGTTTTTCAAGGATTAAAAGAGTTTCTGATTTGAGCATGACAACAAAGAGCTTCATTCAATTGGTCATAATCGGAGAGATGAAGATCCTGTCATCACCGGGATAAGCCACGACCATAAACAATTTATTTGTCGAAAAAAAAACACCCAAAAATGAAGTCTACCTATGGCAGTCAAGGATTGTAACAATTCGACAATGGATTATTTGGAAGGATAATTGTACTTAGGGATAAATTTAGTGGCTGACTGACCCAGAATTCAAATGCATGGCGTATCCGAGAGAGAATACACATTTCGCATTTATACCTTACTGCAAGATACTAGTAGTCAGAAAACTAGAAGTGAGAGGAATTTGGGGCAAAACGTCGTCACCAAGACCATTTAGCGGTGTGGTGATGGGCTGAGTCGTATGCCTTTGACCCGTCGTCACCGAACGAACACGTGTAATTGAAGGCCAGCACAGGTTCCTTGACCTTAGCTGAACTCATTTATCTCTAACCCTAATTTGACCGCCCGTCTTTGGTCTATTCTTTGGCACAGACATTCGTTTATTACTGTCTAATCAGTCCGAGGCTTTTATTCATCATTAATCAGCCAAAATCGGTTTCTCCTGATTATTTTCAAAGAAAATTTCTCAGAGAGGAGTTCGGAGGAAGGTCCAGTGGGTCCTGTTTTTCGAAAGGGGGGGGGGGGGGGGGGAGGGCAACTGTTCTTTAAAGACATCCAAATAAAGAAAACAAAGTAAATAAAAGTAAACATCTCGTACCTTATCAACTATGACGGGAAAAACGTTTGTATGTGTAGGTCTGTCTATTATGGAGCCCAGCAGTAGTCAATGTTTATTCTAGAAGTTATGTAAATCAGTTCATCTGATCCACCCACTAAGGTTGGAGATGGGGAGCATTGGAAAGGATGCAAAACAAATGACAAAGCTTCGGTGTTAACCAATCCTAGTTGGAGGATGCGCCCCGCATTTGACTTTCGCTCGGAATTATAGTGGCGTTTGAACGCCTGTGGTTAAAACAATGAATGAAAATGAATTGCGGTGGCCAGACGACGTACAAGGAGGGCCTTTGAACCTTTCAGACATTCGTTCCAAATCAAGCGTTCAAGAGAGGAAAGGAATGTTTGAATGCTTCATACGGGCATCGAGCTGGGGTTCATCGAGCCCGAGCAGTGTCCTACCTTGCCACTGCACCAGCTTCACCCGTAAATGGTTAGAAGGGAACAAAGTAAAAATCAAAAAGAGGTCACTGATCAGCGTTTTGAAGTGTTAGTGGAA